CCTGTCATGCTGGAATTCGATCTAGTGAGCAGAAAGGAGGCTACATAGCTCCCTTGCCATGCCACCATCTAAGTCCTAAGAAGACACTACATTTGAAAAACGTATGGCACAATCAGAAAGGATAAAGCTTCTGCCGTTGATCAATCTTGTCTTGGGATGCGGCACGCATTCTACTTCCATTTGTACATTCGTAGTGGCGTTTGAATGCGATGTGGCCTATACAATGACTTGCGGGGGCCAGCCGATGTACAAGTCAGTGTTTTTATCCTCCCAGACAAGTCTGGTACCAATTAACCGACCCCGGAGGGATGGAAGGCTTGGTTGGCCCGGGCGACTCACGACCCAGGATTTGATCCCCGGACCGCTCGCGTGGTAAGCGTGCCACTTGCCACTACACCACTTCCGCCATAATAACTTCTGCTCGGAGGAACTAATATTAATACATAGAATAGCACAATAGCACTATACAATAAAGGGCCTCTAAAGATCAGTCGCAATTGTAGAATCAAGGCTCCTAGAGTCCTCGGAAAAGCCGATAAAGGGACAAATGAGAAACGATGAAAATTGCATTCTGAATTTCCTTCTACTTTCTTTTTTTTTCTTTTCAAGTGGTCATCAATGGTGGCAAATTTATTACTTCCTACGGATAGATTCTATTTAGTTAGGTCGCTAATCTAGGCTTGTGCTGAAATAAGAATTTATCATGCAGTCAACTTTGTATTTACGGGTTGCACGACACTGCCGACTACTCAGCGCAATCTGAAATGCAATACGTACAATAAATAAATAAATAAACAGTAAATACTTCGAAGTATTTCATTCTAGATGAGAACTTGAGTCGTTGGAAATTATCATAGATTGGCCAGCGCAGATAAAAAGCTTTCCGGAACAATAGGTTTGAGACCTGACCAAGAAACTGGCGTTTTTATGTAATTCGATTTATTCTTTATTTCGCCTATACTTTCCTCACGTACATAATTCTAATATAAATAATCCTCTTTATTTCAATATTTGTCGCGTACTTGGTTTCTTTACATATTTATTCCTATTGATTTGATTTTTGAATACTTTATAGGAAGTCCTTCGAAGAAAGAACCCAATCGAGAAACGCTCCAAAACATCGGGAGGTGAACTTTTAAACCCCTGCCGTTTTTCATGGGCGATCCTCAACGATCCTAGCGCTAATCTCAGTCCTTCTTTGACCATGCCCTTTCCAGTCGGGCATCTTAGGTGGCTGAACGTCCCTTTTAGCAGCAAGCCGCCAGCGAAACTACACACTCAACCCGGGAAATTAATCTAAGCTCCGGCAAGCGAGCAGTAATCGCCCCGAGCTGATTATTCATAAGATAGTGCTAGAGGAAATGAATTGACCAGGAAACGAGTTCGGCATGATGAAGTGAGGCGTGAAAAAAGATAGAAACTCGTTGCTTATACGAAGAAAAAAATGTAAAATATGGAGGTAGTTCTTTTTCATTAGAAGGGGAGATAAATCAACGACCAACTTCTCTGTCAGTATTCTGATCAGGGCTGAGTGAGGCGCCGCGGAAAGTTGAAATACGACCCCCTCCCTCTAGTTCCCAAGTGGCAGAACTCCATCTGAATCGAGATGTTCCACCAGAGTACCGCAGTTGAAGCGCGCGCAAGTCATTGAGCCCACATAGGGACGCGCCACGGACTTGATGAGCTCC